ACACACACACACACACACACACACACACACACATGCTGGGAAGAACCGTAGCCTATCGACACACTGGAGTGCTCCGGTATGATATCACGACACCTAATGAGACTAAGATAAGCCTCATTACCGGCATCGCTCACGCGCACATGCTAGTCAAATGCAGGGCTTCTCCGCACAAGGTTTAGCTCCCCTATGATTCTGCCCTCTCCCCACTTTTGTTGTCATAATCCTTGCACAGAGCTCAGACTCAGAGCATAAACAACACCGTGCCCCAGTGGGGCCAAAACACATGAGCAAAAGTAAGCACACACTAACACACGCCCAGATGCACTGTATGCGGATATGCACACACCTACACTTAGGTGATAGGTCCTTGGAGGACACAAGTCAATCCCTGGGTCCCTCAAGTAGTGGCACACACATACTCACTATCTCCTACCATCCACCTCCAGGAGAAACATACCAGCTGTGTCTCTTTCTCTACACACACTTCACATAGGATCACTGATGTATATGTTCCCCCATTTATAAATGGTGTGTGTGTGTGTGTGTGTGTGTGTGTGTGTGTGTGTGCGTGTGTGCGTGTGTGTGTGTGAACCACAGGCAGCAGGCAGGGGTGTTTTAGCCACAGGCATAGCTACCTGACCCCCGTAGCTGTAAGATTGACAGCTGTGGTCCCGCCTAATTGCATTACTCTCCCAGGTGATTGGCCCACACCCTGGGGGCTCATTTGTCAGGATGCATTGTGGTAATGATGTAAAATAGCCGATCTACGTGTCACTCAGCCCTCTCCCCCTGCTGATTGGCCCCGCTGTGCCCCAGGACTCGGCCCCCAGCTGAGGGAGCCAGCTCATTGGTCCTTGGGGATCCAGGAACTCCCCCAGAAATAGGGCTTTACAGATTGAGCATCCCCGTGGGCTCATATTATACTTCCTCCCACCTCTTTACATGTCAGTCAAAACCAAGGGACTGTTCCCTGCAGCCTCTATCTCCTGTCTGAGAAATAGGTGTACACACACACAGACATGTACAGTAGGTGGTATAGACACCTGTAATAACCCCATGTCTACTAAGAGCCTGAGCATTCTCTGGTATAGCTGAAAAAGTAATGTATATGTTTGTGCGTGCATGTGTGTGCGTGTGTGAATTGAAATAAAGGCCACAGGCTCAGGCTCTGTTCCCCACTGCTTACCCAGCATGCTCCTAGCTACATCCTCTCTCAAAAGCAGACACCTTCACAGTGACAGACAGCTTGAGAAACACATGGACAAACACACTGTTAACACATACATACTCACACACACTGGTACACAAACACACTTTGACTCCCTGGTTTCTTTGTATGACTTTCTCAATAGCACCAATTCAAGTGTTAGTTATAGCACATGTCAGGTGTGTGTGTGTGTGTGTGTGTGTGTCCGCTCTCCTGTTGTGTTGCTGAAAGGTTTCATGGGAGTTTGGAGGTTCTTTGTTAAACTCACTCTGGTTATATGAGGCCGAATATGAATAAAGACCGAGTAATGTCAGCATCAGCATGAATCGATACTTGTACAGATGCACAATCACTTGGTCTGGACCTCAGCCCGTGATCAATGGTTTTCTCTGAGTTATTGTATTCATATTAACCAGTGGAATGCTCCCTGAGGACCACGTATGAATGGCTAATTGAGACCACACTACACCTCTCACCAGGACCTGGTGTTGTTTTTACACCCTCCTTTGTTTGATTTCAGACACGGCATCGCAAAAGCCTTTTTAGCCAAATTTGGACGCACTGTAGGTGTTTCCAAAACACTCAGCTCCTCATGAAACTCTAATTGCCTGCTCTTGGTGATATGAATGTCCCTCACACAGATTCATATATTGACTCATTGTCCCTCCCTGTCAGTGTTGGGGCCAAATTATAACTCCATCTAAGATTATTCATCAATCAATTCATATTTTTATTGTGGCAGCTGGGGGCTTTCCTATTGATTGTAAAAAATGCAGAAATCGTTGAATATATAAGTCAACAAAAGTGAAGCAAAAGTTTGGAACAAGCAAATGGACGAGATTGAAAAGTAGAAAAGCAGAAGTATCTCATTTGTTTCTTCGGTTGTTAACGTCAGAAACATGATATTTGTCTTTCTGATGTGCAGCGATAGCATCTCCGTTATATCTGCATGTGTTAGATGTTAGTATTTACAGACTCTGTGTGTGTGTTTGTGTGTGTGTTTGTGTGTGTGTTTGTGTATGCGCACACGCATTTACATTACTGACTCAGTAATCGCTGTAAATTAGAGATGCTTGTGGTTCATTTCAGTAAAACCCCTGTAAAAATTCTCTCTCACGGAAAAAACATTTCCCATGACGTAGCAACATGTGCCAAACGCGCACACCCTGACACGCGCGCACACACCTTTAAGTGCTGCACCCACCATCTTTCCCTCCCACCCTCACTGTTTTATACACACATAGAGTGACTTTGTTGTTAATGTAGTAACTAACCAGTGTACGCCACTATTTGGCAGAGCGTGAGAACACAGCGAGTATAGTGGGTAATTGCCGTGCTGCACGCAGTGTCTACAGGAGCACTCTTTATGAGGTGGCGGCAGGGAGGATGAGAAAGAAGGATGGAGGTCACTGGTGTGTTTCCACCTCGCTTCAGATCCTTTAAAGGTTCTCAAGAGTGAAACTGGAGTATAATCAATATTTGGTTTATTGTATAAAACATGTATTTAAACAGTAAATGTTCACAGGGAGTGAATCTGATGTGTTTCTGTGGCCGCTAATGAAAATGTTTCAGAGAAATCTCAAGATTGTGACAGGAATTTTTCTGCCTCCAGCATTTATGTGTTTAGGGACAATAATTGATTTCTGTGTTGTGCCCCGCCGGGTTTGTCCCACATCTCTAAACCCCCCCCCCCCACACACACACACACGCACACACACAGCAAGGCATACTGCAGTATTAATGAGACATGAATAAGACATGAAGAGAGACCCCCCTCTTACAGGCTCACACAGGGTCTCCCCCTCCCCATGCTGCTTCCTGTCTGCAGATTACCCAGCTTTCACTGGGCTCTGGTTAAGTGGGGCCAGGAAGAGATTTAACCCCCTCAGCAGGAGCGCACACACGCAAACATACACACACACACACACACACACACACACTCCCGACAGTCAAGAAACATTAGCTCGCTTACTACGTTATTGGAAAATATATTATTTATTGTGTAGTTGACTGCTGATAGAGTTTCATGTGTTAAACTGGCTGAAATATGATGAAAATGTAAGAATAATGTCTGTAAGTTTGCTCCTTTCTTATTAGCATCACCAGCTTGAGCTTGACGTGTACATTCTCACCTCAAAGTTAAACATTTTATTTTCAGTTTTACATTTGTTTTGAGAGTTGGACTGAAAGTGAAAGTTAAACCTGTATCATTAGTAATAATCAATATAAACTGGGATTATTATACTACCACAATGTACGCACAACTTAACTGTAAGTGTGTGTCCAAGCAAACTGTGAGGTAAATGAATGGAAAGGAGAATGTCTAGACTCGGTTTAATGTCATCGTATTAAACATTTGATAAGTGAACTCAGTGTATGTTGCTGTAGGTGGAGTCGTGACCTCTCTTCTGTTTGTGTTGTAGGCCTCAGCGACATCCAGCCCGGGCCCTGCCTCTCTGGGCTCCCAGGTTCATGCTGCAGCTGTCAACGGAGATAGGAGCGCCCTCCTCAAACTCATCACAGGTAAGCTGTACACAAGAGATCGTGAATTACATTTGTAATCTCATCGGGGCGGTGCTATGAGTCTCTGTATGTTGGCCCTTTGATATGCTGGCGACCTGTCCAGTGTTTGCCCCGCTTTTGCCCACTGTCAGCTGGGATAGCTCCAGCTCTCCCTTTTGACCCTCAAAGGATAAGTGGTTTAGATGAATAAGAAATAGATGGAATCCCATCGGCAGAGCATTATGATTTTATAATATGCATCTTAATATGACAACCAAGACACCTGAAGCGTCGAGGTTTCCCTCACATTAAGATATAGTTACATGTTGCTTTGTTTATTTCTTAGAGGAAACTTTCTAATTTTTAGCCCATGTGCAGAAACGTCAGATTGGAGGATTAGTTGCAGCATCTGGTTGAAGTTTGGGGTTTTTGCATAGACAAACCACAACAGAGCAGGTGCTCATCAGTATGAAGGTTTAAACCGTGGTCCAGCTGCTAAATGACGATGGAATAGCTGATATTACCAGTCCATTTAGCGATGCTGCTATTTGTTAATGATCATGTAGAAAACAGATACTTACCCTGACATAGAATAGAAACATTTAGCATACATAAAGAACATCACATGAGCTCTGCAAAGTATTTTCATGAATGGGCACCATGAGCCTCCAGGCTAATATTGTTAGCCTACCTCCAACTGCTCTGAATAAATTGACTCATTTAGGGAAGTGGAAGTGGAGGTCCTATTAAACTTGTGTTTTTTAAGACAGCACGTAAAGTACAAGAGGCTGCATTTTAAAAACAGCTTACAAGATATTCCATCACAAGCCACATAATTGTACTTTCTGTTTTATTTGTTGTGAAATTCAACACATATTGACCCAAATCTTGGTTTTGATTAACACCTACCCTCAAACCTTCATGTTTCTTTTCTTTCTTTCTTTCTTTCGTGTGTGTGTGTGTGTGTGTGTGTGTGTGTGTGTGTGTGTGTGTG